TAAAAATCACAATTTTGAGGGTTTGCAAAAAACTCGAGGAGAGCCTCACGAAAACTAATGAGACCCTCGATGCTACGATAAAGAAACTAGAAATTAAGCATACACGGACGGAAATAAAGAATATTATACCCAATAGCAGACCAGAGGAGCGCAAGAATCAAGTCAAAGATTTGAAATACGAAGAAGCAAAAAACACCCAACCGGAAAAGCAAAATGAAAAAAGAATCCGAAAATACGAAGATAGTGTAAGGAGCCTCTGGGACAGCTTCAAGCGCACTAATATCAGAATAATAAGGGTGCCAGAAGATGAGAGACAGCAAGATATTGAAAACCTATTTGAAGAAATAATGGCAGAAAACTTCCCCCACCTGGTGAAAGAAATGGACTTACAGGTCCAAGAAGCGAAGAGAACCCCAAACAAAAGGAATCCAAAGAGGACCACACCAAGACACATCATCATTAAAATGCCAAGAGCAAAAGACAAAGAGAGAATCTTAAAAGCAGCAAGAGAAAGAGACTCAATTACCTACAAGGGAATACCCATACGACTGTCAGCTGATTTCTCAACAGAAACTTTGCAGGCCAGAAGGGAATGGCAAGAAATATTCAAAGTGCTGAATACCAAGAACCTACAACCAAGATTACTTTATCCAGCAAAGCTATCATTCAGAATTGAAGGTCAGATAAAGAGCTTCACGGATAAGGAAAAGCTAAAGGACTTCATCACCACTAAACCAGTATTATACGAAATGCTGAAAGTTTTCCTTTAAGAAGAGGAAGAAGAAAAAGGTAAAGATACAAATTGTGAACAACAAACATGCATCTATCAACAAGTGAATCTAAGAATCAAGTGAATAAATAATCTGATGTACAGAATGAACTGGTGATTACAATGAATCAGGGACATAGAAGGGGAATGGACTGACTATTCTTGGGGGGGGAGGGGAATGGGAGATGCGGGAAGAGAATGGACAAAAATCGTGCACCTATGGATGAGGACAGTGGGTGGGGAGTGAGGGCGGAGGGTGGGGCGGGAACTGGGAGAAGGGGAGTTATGGGAAAAAAAGAGGAACAAATGTAATCAGAACAATAAAGATTTAATTTAAAAAAAAATAAAAAAAATACATTGTTATTGATTTCAGAGAGGAAGGAAGAAGGAGAGAAAGATAAAACATCCATGATGAGAGAGAATCATGGATCGGCTGCCTCCTGTAAGCCCCCCACTGGGGATCGAGCCCACAACCCGGCATGTGCCCTTGACCAGAATCGAACCTGGGACCTTTCAGTCCTCAGGCCAAAGCTCTATCCACTGAGCAAAACCGGCTAGGGCTGGATGATTTACTTTTATGCTCTAGGACGTTACTAGACTCTCAAAGGGACACAATTTACCTATTGCAGCAGCTAGCTGTAAGGGGACATAAGGTCTCGAAGGATACGCTTCAGTTTTGCTTACCTCATAAAATACCTTGGCCATCGTATATCTAAAGATGGGCTGCTAATGAACCCTGAGAGACTTAGAGGAACCCCATATTTTCCTCTTCCAAAACCAAAAAAGCAGCTTAGAGGATTCCTGGGTTTGACTGGATTTTTCATTGGTAGCCCAGCCTCTCTATGCCCCTTTAAAGTCAGACAAACTGGATCCAATTCAGTAGAACCCTGAAGGGAAACAAGCTGTAGAGACTTTTAAGGACGGACCGTCTAAAGCTCCTGCTCTGGGGCATCCAAACTCTGAACTTCCCTTCTTCCCTTTCACTCAGGAAAGTAAGGGCAATGCTCTAGGAGTTCTAACTCAAAAACACGGAGATCACCAGAGACCTATGGGGCATGATAGAAACTAGACTCAGTGGCCAAAGGGCTCCCTCCCTGCATGAGAGCCGGGCCAGATCAAAGACACTCATATGTGAGGTGCCCTGGCTTCCCTTGCCACTACCAGGCTCCGGCTTTCTCCACCATAGCCCCCAGAAGCAACCACCAACGTAGTTTGGGCACTCTGTCACTCAAAGGCTACCCACAACCCAGGCACTGGGGCCTGGGCCAGCTGCTGTGGCCAGGGGCTGGGGAGGATTCAGGCTTTCCTGGGATGCTCACTTGAGTTCCCCTGATGTCTGGCCCACAGGCAGCTGCTGTAGGGACAGAACATGCTTCCTCCCACCCTCCCAAGTTCCTTGGCTGATTTAATAAGTTAATTGATATAAGATCAGATTAGCAAAAGAAAAGCCACATTTAAGAACATGAACGCCTCCCCTATACCTGGGAGAGGCCCAGGAAAAATGAGTACCTTGCCCAGAAGCCACCAGGGCTCAGGGACAGGCTGGCACCTGTTTGGTGGTGATCTTGAGGGCCTTGCGGGGAGGAAGGGGGTGACATTCTCCCGGATGCTCTTCTTCCCCACAGACCAGAAAACCCCATCAGGCTCCGCAATCCCACGGAAGTGTCCGTCTCACCTGCCCAGGGCCTCAGGGCACAAGTACCTTTTCTATTCAATCAGCTTCCAGACCTTTCCTTTCCCTTTATTTCCAACCACTGAACTGTGCTGGAGTGGGTCGGAGTGGAGTGGGTCCAGGCTCTACCATCTTGACCAGGGGTCCTCAAACTATGGCCCGCGGGCCACATGCAAACACAAATATTGTATTTGTTCCCGTTTTGTTTTTTTACTTCAAAGTAAGATATGTGCAGTGTGCATAAAAATTTGTTCATAGTTTTTTTTTTTTTAACTATAGTCCGGCCCTCCCACAGTCTGAGGGACAGTGAACGAGCCCCCTGTTTAAAAAGTTTGAGGACCCCTGATCTTGACACTCCCCAATTCTGAGCTGCCCCCCTCCCTCCCTTAAGGCACTCAAGATCACCACCAAACAGGTGCCAGCCT